CAATACAGATCACGTAAGAACGCGAACCAATTTTCTGAGAAGATGAAATAATAAAAGTCTGTTTAAACTTCCTTCTCAGCCGAAAAGGAAAATAAATACTGAAGGTTATCTTGTAACGCGCCTTATGAACTGACTTCTCAGTTACAAATTTGACGAGCAGATTTCACCCCATCGATGTCTGCATGCCATCATGTCGACATCGTTCATCTGAGTATTTCCATCCCATCTCCTGTTACGCGCATTATTATTGCAGGGTCAAAAAAAAAAAAATGCAGAAAAATATACAGCAGATCCGAAACTGACTGTTTAGAATATACCTAAAAAATTCAATCGTCGAATGTAAAAGAAAATAGGATCCAACATTGATTCCCCGAACGTTTAATCAGTCCCAGATTTCCCAAGATAACCAAACATCATTCGAAAATTGTGCACAAACGTCATCAACAGAAGGAAGTAAATAATATTTCATCAAATTATGTGTAGCGTACTTCGTAACAATCAACCACATATTCAGTCAAGCATGTTTCCCGAAATTAACGTTAAAAAACAACGACGTATCGACTTTTCGACGGCAATTTTCAAGTTAATCGAGGAGAGCAGCAATACGGCCGGTCACTTTATGCCCAGGCTCCGACAATTGCCTTCGCAGCAACTTCAAATGCATGACTGGCGATCACAGAACTACATGTATTCAGTCTCAAGCTGCAGCCGAAGCGCTCATTTTGCTCAAGCCATCGTCCACCTTTTATCTTTCTCGGTAAATGGTGTATTTCAAAAAGTATAGCTAATGAAAAGAATTCGATCGATTGACCTTTTCGTCTGTTTGAGGCGAAACCCTCCGGCAAGTTTTCCCTGACTGTTGAAATTTGACTTTAAGTACATGTAAATAGATCGCACGAGGCCGAGCATGTATCGGTTGAGGAAGTATTTCCGTTTTAGTAGAAGAGGAATTACTGTAAATTACTATGAAACTGTGAAGGCAAAACTTCACCGGAGACATTTACAGCGAAACATTTTAAAGTTTTAAATGTTGTCTTGGATATCATCGCATCAAACTTGCCTTAAATCGAAGAAAGAACAAACAATGACAATATCTTTTATAGTTTTCCACATTTTAATTTAAATCTCAACACTTAAAACCAGGCCGTATCTACTTTATAGAGGCTAAACGAGGTAGCAGATGAGAGAGGTTTTGAATACAGAAGCTTGGTGTGATTATATGATGATTTTTCAGGGG